TTTTACCTCTGATGCACTGCAATGTCTGAACTGTCTGAACTGTCCTGAGCGCGTCCTCGACAGCCGGCGCGTGACGCGTCTTCTTCTTGCTTTTATGGCGAATCGTAGACTTATAAGTGCATTACCGCCACCTATCTCTCAAATCGACCACTGACACTCCTAATTGAGATTGTAGATAGAGTGTCAATGGTCCATTTGAGAGATAGAGATTGAGAGAGACAGACTGAATGTTTCGTGTCTTTACACATCAACGTATCGTCACGAGCCACAGGGTTTAATTTGGTGTTGTTTGTGTATGTATACATCAATGTATCGTCACGAGATGCAGGGTTTAATTTGGTTTTGTTGTGTATGTTTTTTTTTACTCTCAAAGCCGTGATTGACATTCACTGACATTATAAGACTGATAGACTGCAACGGTTAGAGTTAAAAATCTTCTTTTGTGTTCTACTGAAGAAACAAAGTCACCTACATCTTGGATGCCCTGGGGGTAAGCAGATAAACATCAAATTTTCGTTTTTGGGTGAACTATCCCTTTAAGGGCACTGAGTTGTGGCATTTTGGCATTTTTAAGTACAATTACCAAATTGTGTCGTCCATTGTAGGGACTACTGAATAGACATTTAGAAGTTTATTGGAATATCCAAAGTATGAAATTTACTGTAGAAAATGTGTAACTAAAGTTCTTTGAAAACTTAACTTACATTTTTACAACACTATCCCTGCATTCCATTCAGGCTCTTCGAAATCCTTAATTCCGAAGGGCCATTTGAAGTGGCTAGTTTTGAGCATTTCGGTTTGGAATGACGCTTCAATATGGCGGCCATGATTGTTTTCACTCCGAAGTGCCCTTCGGAGGGCAATATATCCCATTTGGAATGCACTGTATATGCACACGTAAGTGTGTCCCATTGGATAGTGAAAAGCTATACACGACACGTAGCCTTCATGCGGTCTGTACGCCCACCTGAAAACTTGAGCCAACTACAAGAATTATGTTATGTAAGCAGAGAAGTGGTCAAGTGCGAAGACCACATGTGTGGGTATTGGGACAGGCAGTCTGTTGAATGTGTCAGTTCACTCTCACGTTCAGTGGAGTGTGCTTTGAATGGTTTACACCAAGGATCTCCAGCCCTGCTCCTGGAGAGCTACCGTCCAACCCACTTTCATTCCAACCCAGCTCCAACACGCCTGCCTGTAATTGTCAAGTAACCCTGAACACCTTGATTAGCTGGTTCAGGTGTGTTTGATTAGGGTTGGAGCTGAAAGCTGCAGGACGGTAGCTCTCCAGGAGCAGGGTTGGAGACCCCTGGTTTACGCATTCAACTGTGCACTAGATGGAGTGGAACACTAAAAATATACAAAAGTATTCTTCCCATGTCCATGTTCCACTCAGCCTCAGTAAGTCTAATGCAAATTTTGGCATCAAGTAAGTCCGCTGATGTCTGCGCACAATGTCCGCATGCAGCCTGAATTTTGTATCCTCACGGACAACAGCGCAAGCACAGGTGATTTGAATGTTAGAAAACAGAGGTCAACTAGGGTAAAGGCACATGTGCCCGAAAGCATCAGTCTGCAATCACGGTCAGTGGACTGTCCTTTGAATGGCTTGCACACTCAACTGTGTGCTAGATGTAGTGGAACATGAAAAGTGTACAAATGTTTACTTCCTACTGTATGTTCATGTTCTAATCCGGCTGATTTCCATGCACACCATCCACGGACAACATCCTCCTGGACAACAGCGCATGCACGGCTGATTTGAGTGTTCGAAAACAAAGTTCATCTAGGTAGTGCACATGTGCCGAGTGCACCAGTCTGCCCTCACAGTCGGTGGACTGTACTTTGAATGGCTTGCGCACTTGACTGTGTTCTGAAGTTCTGAAGTGAACGATTTGAAGCACTTTACATAGATGGCAACTCTTTATGTCATAAAAATGGCGCTCCTTAGGTGAAGTGGCTTGACTCCAATTAGGTTTATTGTTAACATATTGCTAAGCTAACAACAAGATAATGTAATGAACCTAAAATAAATGTTATATTTGATACTTTTTGGTGTTCAATGAAACTTGAACATTAGCTCAACAAATTTGCAAGCTCTTTTTCAAGGCGTTAATCACAGTGCATTCTGGGAAATAAATGCAATTCTGAAAATAATTTAGGTTTAATGTTACTTCCTAACATGACTGTAGGACATCTATATCTCTAAAAAATGTGTGTGTGTCTGTATGCTTACGTCAGCCAGAGTCCGCTCAGGAAGGACCAGAGGACAGCATCCATGTTGTATTGGTTATCCTCTTCCGTTGTGGAACACAGACCAAAGGCAACTAGATGGCCCAGAAGTGCTTACAGCACTGGACTGTGTATGCAATTGGTCTACAGATTCTCTCTTAAAAGTTGGTCACCTCTGCATCTGTATAATTGTAGAAAGTGTAACCGTTAACTTGAATCGCATGCACCTTGTAAGCCAATCATACAATGGCTCCAATACACACTCAATTGGCAAATTGTAACTGTTACATGTTGGCTAATTTGTATAATCTCATTTGTTTTAATACAATGTGCTTACACCCCACTGATAGTTTAGTTTAAGGGCGGACCTTCATGCCTGCTTTTCTCTAAAAATATTACGTTTTCCTTCAAATCACATCATGAATCATGAATTCATACACACTTTACATAAACATAAAATAGTTACTTTTCTCACGAGATCAGGTTTGATGGCCATTGATTAGCTTTCAGATTTGTTATGGCTCGTCACATTTCCAGATCTCGTTTGTTAGGAGATTAGCAGTCATTTTTGTGTGTGTTTAGTTTGATAACATGCTGCGGTGGAAATAACATTTTTTGAAGAATGCTTGGGAAAAAATGGCTAACTACTATGTCTTGCTAAGGCTAATTTCATTTAAAAAAATTGTGCCATAAATGCACAATTAAGACATTTTCACAATTGTTTTTACATAAAACAATGTATGCATAAAAATATTCTACTCACAAGTGATATTCATTTTGATTTTCCTCAAGCATGTTTTAACTCACACGGTTGTCCATGCGTCATGCACAGTCCGCATACAGCCCAGTTTTTTCTGTCCGCGGGGACAACAATGCATCCACAAGTAATTTGAGTGTTTAAAACCAAACCAGTCAACTAGTTAGTGCACTTGCGCTTAACTGTTGTCACCATAGTAACTATGAATGCTAACTTCTATTGAAACTTTATAGGGGGTGATAGAAATACATAGAAATGACTCTGCAAGTAATTGATAACTGAATATTTTACACAATAAATATAGAAATTAGTTGTTGATTTCACTCTTTTAGAGTTTAAAAAATGTGCAAATATTTTTATGGGTCTGGGACAAGGGTAAACCCATAACATCTACACATAAAAGATAAATCAAGGAGTTTTAATGAACATCATATAACAGAAAGAAAATCATCCGAAGGACATAAAAGCACCCAAAGGAGCGCTCATAAATCACACACACCGCTTCCAGAAAGTGAGTCTGTGTTGGGACAGGAGGAAAGGGGGAAGTGCTGGCTCTTCGTGGCGGCGTCTGTTATCAGTAAAGCACACCGCCGTCTCCAGATAAACACGGCTGATGGAGTGACCGCGAGCCCAGTGACATTGAGGGCCCTTCACTGAGACATGATCTCAAACTTGCCTCTGTACTGTACTGTACTCATTTTGTGCTCTGCTGCTGACTCTCACTACTCTTGTTTGTTTTCATGACACTTGTTTCTAGTCCTTGTTTCTTTCCGCTGCCATGCCAGGCAACTCTAGACCACCTGGACAGTGACTCATTCTGTCACGTGCAGCTGGTTTCCTCATATTGTCCTTTGACTTTATTTCTGTGACGGGGTGAATCAGTAAGCAACACAGCTCAACACACTTAATGCACTAGGGAGGTAAAACCTAAAGCAAGCCATTAGATGCACCTTAGCCTTTAAAATTATGAATGTTTGCGAGCATTACTGTTAGGGTAGCCACTGTAAAAGGTCCCTTTAAGGAAAATGTGATTTTTCTGGTATGAAAATATATTATCAAAAAACTATATATATATTGATTGATTGATTGATTGAGGAATATTTTTGTAAAAATTATAAATTATATAAATAATAATAATTATAAAACTTTTAATAATAAAAATAAATACAATAATAAAATAAGTAATAAATATTCAATAATTTTATTTATTTTAATATTTTTTTACAAAAAAATATATTGCCTAATCAATAAGTAATAATAAAATATTCAATAATTTTATTTATTTATTTATATTAATATTTTTTTAAATAAAATATTAAAATATTTTTGTAAAAATGATAAATTATATAAATAATAATAATAATAAAACTTTTAAGAATAAAAAAATAAATACAATAATAAAATAAATATTAAAATATTATTTATTTATTTATTACATAACCTTATAAATCCTGTTTTATTTAAGGTAAATCTAAAACTTCTTCAAATGAGCCACAAAAGGAGCAGGTTTTTGCATCAGAGTAAGTCTATCCCAAATCCTTCTGTTGATTCAAACATGGGGGCATTGACAGTGTTTGGTAACAGACACACCTCATATCATAAATCCTGTCCCGAGCACAATGGATATTAGAGAAACAATCAGAGATTTACATCAGACCGCTGAGGTCAAATTTCCTCCGGAAATAAATAGCATAAAGAAATATCAGATGATTGAGTAATATTAGATTAGTTTACTAAATTACAGATGAAATAAACACAAACATATGAAAATAGATAGATAGATGATATATTGCTGTTCTATAGTTCCATTGTGAGCTAGTTCATTCGTGACTGCTGTGAAAGCAACAATACTGTAATTGTTACATGTAACACCTGGTCTAACACGCAAAGGCTCCGTTCACGTTGAGCGTGAGAGCGTGCGTGCGGTGGGCGGGGCCATCCATCCGCTCATTTGCATATGAGTCACGCACGCTTTATAAGAAGCTGGCGGACGTTTGAGGGATGTCTTACTTTCACATCTTCAGGAGAAACTTATCGTCTTTTGCCGGGTTTCTTTTCATTGTTCTGGTGCAGTTATGCGTAGGATTATCTAAAGAGACGCCTTCATTCGTCTGAAGAGCAGCAGACCGCTTTCACATTAATTATATTGAATAAAACTGACAAGCCACTCTCTCAACATGTGAGTATACGTTTTGTGCGTGTTTGTTTCGTTATATATCTTTTAGAGCAACATTTCTTTTATAGATCTATCTATTATAACGATTTTATTAGTATTTATATTACCTACATACTACTGAACGCTTGGTGACGGTTCATAACATTAAAAAATATATATATGTTATAATAACAATATTAATATTATAAAAATCTATAACAGGCTGTGGGTTAGCAACAGCATCTGTGGTTTGCAATATTTAAATCCTCACCTCATTCAGTTGAGTCATTCAATACTGTAAAATATTATGACATAAGTATACTTCATTATAACACTGTCATAATGTTACATTTACATAGTCCTACTACTACTAATAATATTAAAATAACTGCTTTGTATATAAACAAGATATAATGTCACATCTTCGACTAAATACATATATAAGTTTACAATAAAACTCATAGTTGGACTCAACTTTATTTTTTATATTTACCTTGTTTTGATAATTTTTATAATGGCATAATAATCAAATAATCACATTTGACTACAACCTTTATGTATTGTTATGCTACTTTTTATAGTGAAAAGACAATTTTCAACATGATCATCCTGCAGTCATGTCATATGTATCTGTGGTAAGACTGCGACTCTCTAAATTATATTGTTAAATAAATAGACATTTATTCCATGTAAAAGAAATGAAACAAACTCCACATTTTTGGAAGTAAAACCACATTTGAATTGAATTCATTGCTATTTGTTTTAAGGTTTAGGTCACACTTTAGTTTGGGGACCAATTCTCACTATTAACTGCGACTAATTTGCTGCTTATTAATAGTTAGTAAGTAGTTTTTTAGTAGGATTAAGGGATCTAAAATATGGTCATGTAGAATAAGGCATTCATATGTGCTTTAAAAGTACTAATAAACAGCCAGTATGCTAGTAACATGCATGCTAATAACTAGGGATGCACCGATACCACTTTTTCCAGTACTCGCCCGATACGATACTTTTATTTTTGGTACTTGCTGATACAGAGTACCGATACCGATATTTTTATTGCATTTGTAAAATTTTTAAATATTGGGTACAGAAACCAAAAGGGTATGTATAATGTTAGTTGGTTAAGTTTATTTATCAAATAGATAGTCAAACCAAAATTTATTCAGACACCTTCAACATTTCTCACATTATCACAGTTTATTCGCTATAGTTTAGAAAATGGTAATAAAATAT